AAGAACCCGAGGGGAATTGGTGGACCGTGTACACCGATGGGTCGTCCGCGACTGATGCTTCGGGGGGAGGTGTCGTGGCGATATCTCCGGAAGGGTTCAAGGCATACTACTCCGTGAGATTCCGGTTTAAAGTCTCGAACAATGAGGCTGAATATGAGGCACTGCTTTGCGGCTTGAGGTTGGCAGCCTCATTAAAAGCTGAGCGAATCCAAGTCCGGTGCGATTCCAAGCTAGTGGTAGGCCACGTCACTTGAGAATTTGAGGCCAAGGATGAACGAATGAAGAAGTATAGAGACACTGCCCTGGAGTTGCTTAAAGCATTCGGGGCGTACCGGATAGAGCAGGTTCCTCGGGAAGAGAACGCTGAGGCAGATATCTTGTCAAAGCTTGGTCCGGATTCCCCGGATCATATTAAGGCAATGACCTAGGAAGAAGAGTTGCTCGAGCCAAGCATCAGTCCCGGACAAGTGCTGATCATCACACTCAGAGAGAAGCCGGATTGGATTGACGAGATTACCATGTACATCCTTGACGGGTCGCTACTTATCGACCCAATCGCGGCAAAGGTGGTGAAGCGACGTGCACCCAGCTACACGCTGGAGTGCGGTCGGCTGTATAAGCGATTGTACAATGGTACATTGTTGAGGTGCTTAAGAACGGGCGAGGCACAGAAGTTAATGGAGGAAATCCATGAGGGAATATGTTCAGCACATCAGGGAGCCTTCACGATGTCCAGGAAGGTGACCCTACAAGGATACTTTTGGCCAACAATTATCAGAGATTGCGCAGAGTATGTGCGCAAATGCAAGGTTTGCCAGGAATTCCAGAGGATGCCAGGGCGACCGGCGACGAATTATACCCCGATAAGCACAGCGATTCCTTTTGCCCGGTGGGGCATCGATCTGGTCGGTATTTTGCCTCGGGGGACGGGGAACAACACATACCTGGTGGTCGCGATCGACTACTTCACCAAGTGGGTCGAGGCCGCCCCCGTGCCAACCATCACTGCGGAACAGATGACGAAGTTCGTTTCCAAGCAAATCTTGTGCCGATTTGGGGTGCCCCAGCAGATCATCACAGACAACGGAACCCAATTCGAGGCCGGAGGGTTCAATGAGTTTCTACAGAGCTGGGGGCATAAAACACAGCTATGCAGCGGTCGGGTACCCACAAACCAATGGGCAGGTAGAGAACACCAATCGTACCATCATGGATGGCCTCAAGAAGAAGATAATGGAATGCAAAAGTGCCTGGGTGGAAGAAGTGCCCTATATTTTGTGGACCTACAGAACTACCCCAAGGAAGGCAACAGGTGAAACTCCTTTCTCGCTCTCATATGGATTTCAAGCAAGGGCTCCAATGGAGACCTCGTTGTTAAGTTATAGAGTAGAGACATTTGATGCTCAAGGAAATGAGGAGAACCTGAGGGCGGAGCTGCACCTCATTGATGAGCGAAGGGAAAGGGCATATATGCGGGCAGAAAACTACCGCCGGCAGGTCAAGTCATATCACGACCAGCGGGTGCGACCAAGGCAGTTCAAGATGGGCGACTGGGTCCTTCGGAAGAGGGAGGTCAGCCGGCCGACCGATGGAGGAAAGTTTGCTAAAAGCTTCGAGGGGCCATATATCATAAAGGAGGTGTTGGCTGATGGGACATTTAGATTGCAGACTCCAACCGGTGGCGACGTTCCGCGAGTATGGAATGCCGCCAACCTTATTAAATTTTATCAATAGATTGTATTCCAGCCATGTCTTTTCTTGAGATTTAATAAATCCAGCTCTCTGGCACATCTTGTCTCCAATTCTCGAAAAAAAAAAGGAGCGACCACAAGAGATCGCTAAAATTGCACGGTGATTCGTGCTAAGACACCCAGTAATGGGTGAAGCGTCGAACCCGGTCAAGCGACCAAGGTTGAAGACGACGCCGTGGCAAGAAAGTCTGGGAGAACGGCTAAGTCTGGAACACAAGATCTGTTGATCGCATGAGCGACCAGGGGATCTTGGGGGTATGGCGACGCCAGAAGGGTCAAAGTAACCCGAAAGTGGTTAAGTCAAAAGAGGTGAGGTATTCTCTGATTCAAGTCCGAGGAAACCTGAACGTCAAAAGTAGGATGCGAAAGAGAAGAAGGTGAAACTTGTAAGTAAACATGTAACATCAAAATACATTCACAGAAATGTTCGTTACATTTCAAGGATAATCTCTTGAATCTACTACAGTACAGTTGAGAACAATCTCTACGTAAGAAAGGATACTTCCCCATACACCTCCCACAATGAAAAACAACAATCTAAGACTTTGCGAGCGAAGGTCTAGGGGGGACAGGCAGGTGTGAAAGGTAGTTCTTCGGCTGTATGGGCAGGCAAAACTCCGATCACTAGCCGTCCAGGACGACCACCTTTCTTCCCCAACATGGAACGGGAGTGGTCGCCCCCAGCCTCGGCAAAAACCCACCGCCCTTCTCCTGCCAAGGAAGGACGGGGGACGGCTCACTTCTCTGTGAACCCCAACCAGCATCACCTAGGCGAGGACGGAGATCCTGGAGCCGCCCGAGCTACTTCAGGTCGCCTAGGGGTCTTCTGGGGAAGTGAATGGCAAGCGGGGCGAGGTAGGGGAGAACCCAGTTCTTCCCCTAACACAACCTCCTCCGTAGGCCTCACCGGCGAACTGGTGCGACTCTCGCTAGTCCATCGCTCAAGACTTGCGTAGTATGCGCACTCATGCTCCAGGAGGGGTAAGTGCTCATCTTGAAAGCTCTCCCAGGCCATACATTGCAGGGAATGGAGGGGGCATGGAGCATCCCAGTCAATCCGCCCGTCAGGCAGGCGGTTGGCGGAGAGGGCCTCGTACGCCTCACTAAAGTCTTCATAAGGGTTTGGAGGTGGTGGCGGCGGTTTCACCGACGGCCACTGCCGGCGAGGCAACCGGCGACAGAATTCGTAAGGGTCAAGCCCCCCC